TAAACCAGACTGTGATCGAAGGCATGGGAGAGTTGCATCTTGAAATCATTGTTGACAGGCTCAAGAGGGAATATAAGGTTTGTATAAGTTGCTTGGTACTTTACTGCTAGCCATGAAAATCTTTTATTGCTTGAAAAACTTTTCTTGTAAGTGCGAAGTTAACAGTAAAACTGGATGCTTTGATTGCTTGGTTTAAACAGGTTGAAGCTAATGTGGGAGCACCGCAAGTTAACTACCGAGAAAGTATTTCTAAAATTTCAGAAGTAAAGTATGTGCACAAGAAACAATCAGGTGGTCAAGGACAGTTTGCTGATATTACAGTGCGGTTCGAACCAATGGATGCAGGCAGTGGATACGAGTTCAAAAGTGAAATCAAGGGTGGAGCAGTGCCAAAAGAATACATTCCTGGGGTGGTCAAGGGATTGGAAGAGTGTATGAGCAATGGTGTTCTTGCTGGCTTTCCTGTGGTTGATGTTCGTGCCGTGCTAGTCGATGGTTCATACCATGATGTAGATTCAAGTGTCTTGGCCTTTCAACTTGCAGCTAGGGGAGCTTTCAGAGAAGGGATGAGAAAAGCAGGTCCTAGAATGCTCGAACCGATCATGAAAGTCGAAGTTGTCACCCCAGAGGAACACCTAGGAGACGTTATTGGAGATCTCAACTCCAGGAGAGGCCAGATCAACAGCTTTGGTGACAAGCCCGGTGGTCTCAAGGTATGCAACAAACCTAAATGCCCTCACACGACAAAAATGTGAGATCCCAATATCTGCTAGCGGTGGGCTTAGGCTGTTACTAATGGTATCAGAGCCAGCAAACCGGATGGTGTGCCAGCGAGGATGCTGGCTCCTAAGGGGGGTGGATTGTGAGATCCCACATCGGTTGGAGAGAGGAATGAAACATTGCTTATAAGAGTGTGGAAACCTCTCCCTATCAGACGCATTTTAAAACTCTGAGAGGAAGCCTGGAAGGGATAACCCAAAGGAGATAATATCTGCAAGCAGTGGGCTTGGGCTGTTACAAATGGTATCAGAGCTAGACATCGGGCGGTGTGCCAGCGAAGACTCTGGCCCCCAAGGGAGGTGGATTGTGAGATCCCACGTCGTTTGGAGAGGGGAATGAAGCATTGTTTATAAGAATGTGGAAACCTCTCTCTAACAGATGCATTTTAAAATCTTGAGGGGAAGCCCAGAAGGAAAAACTCAAAGAGGACAATATCTGTTAGCTGGGATGGGCAGTTACAAATAAACTTCCAATAACCTCACATAATCACTTTCATTAATGAACTATTATACATTCAGTAGAGCATATGATCAACAAAGTTTCGAAAAATGCAGGTCGTGGATGCGCTGGTTCCTCTAGCCGAGATGTTTCAATATGTCAGTACGCTGAGGGGGATGACAAAAGGCAGAGCTTCATACACAATGCAATTAGCCAAGTTTGATGTTGTCCCTCAGCACATCCAGAACCAGCTTGCTACCAAAGAGCAAGAAGTTGCTGCTTGATTTTGCTTCCTGTTTGGAAAACAACCTGCGATTCTTAGTCTTTTCAAGGAGGGATTTGTGTTCTATTATTCATTTGTGCCATGTTTATGCAAGAATCGCTGTTCCAGGAAGTTTTGAAGAGCGGCCTCCCAAACACTCAGCCCTCCTAGCAAGGTGTAATTATTCAAAAACTTCGCCGTCCGATCCGTTAAATGCGACCCAAATGCAAACAATTTTGAATGTATAATCCATTTCTTCATCAATGAAGCCAGAACATCCATTTAGACTCTTCTTTGGTGATATTGGTGTGACCTCTAACCCGAAAGAGGTTGCACGTATCAGTTGCACTGTAAGTTCTTGATTGTTTTTTCAGTTGGTATGTCTTTTCAATCTATAATTGAAAATTTAGAACAAAATCGGTCTGAATTGATTTAGAATTGGAATTGAGTAAATAAAAAGTAAAAGCTATAGGAGCAACAAAAGAAGTATAAGGGAACCATTACGAAATACTTTTCAAGAAAAAGGAAAAAGAAAGAAAGAAGAGATGAGTACTTTACAGGGAAAAAGGAAAATGAAAGAAAGAAGAGACGAGGGCTGAATTGAACGAAGGATAAGTGTGACAAGATCACTCACCCCAACAACATGAACAGACAAGAACAAATCCGTCACACACAGACCCACCTGCTAGACCCACGAACAATCAGGTCCCACCAGCTGCAAATTCCATTCCTCTTCGTGTCCTTCTCTAATTTTGCATGCCTCTGCTCACACCGCCCATGGCCTTCCTTCCATTTCCCCATTTCAGTGTTTTAATCCACCTCCTTCTCTTTTGAGCTAATTTAGATTTCTTTCTCCATGGCCTCCTCGTCTACCTCCTCTCTTCTCCTCTTTCTCCTTCTGTTTCTTGCTTACGGTGGCGCCAAGGCCGTGCCATGGAACCGGTGGGAGAGGACCATCCGAATGCCGACGGAGAAGGAGGAGCTGGTTGATGATGATGATGATGCTGCTGATGATCAAAAACTGGGTACCAGATGGGCAGTTCTTGTAGCTGGTTCTTCTGGGTTTGGGAATTACAGGCATCAGGTATTCTAAATGTGAAAACTAGAATTTGAAATGGTTTAATTTGATATCTGAAGTCATGGGGTTTTTTTATTTTCGTGTGAGTAGGCGGATATCTGCCATGCTTATCAGCTGTTGAAGAAAGGGGGCTTGAAGGATGAAAACATTGTTGTGTTTATGTACGATGATATTGCTGGGAATGTCCTGAATCCGAGGCCTGGAATCATCATCAACCACCCACAAGGACAGGATGTTTACGCCGGCGTCCCCAAGGTACATAAATCTACTATTCTTTTACCCTTTTTCCCGCCTGCTGAACGCCGAAGTAGCCACAAAATTCATGGAAATGAACTGATGAGCTAAGGAAAGTGTTAGATAAAGAAACCCAAAAGCTTAAATTGATAGTTCTTGAGGAATTTTGTACAGGATTACACTGGAGAGCAGGTCACTGCTCAGAATCTATATGCTGTTCTTCTGGGCAACAAAACTGCTGTTACTGGAGGGAGTGGAAAAGTTGTAGACAGCAAACCAAATGACCGGATTTTTGTGTACTATTCCGATCATGGGGGCCCTGGTGTACTTGGTATCTATTCTAGAACAAACTAATTGAACTGATATCATTTGAATTTGTTAAACTAAGCCACTGCATACTCTTACAGGCATGCCCAACTTGCCTTTTGTCTATGCCATGGACTTCATTGAAGTGTTAAAGAAGAAGCATGCTGCTAAGGGCTACAAAGAGATGGTATGAAGAGCATTTATATTGTTAGATGGTTGAAACATTCTGTAATGTTGTATTTTTCCAGGTTATCTATGTAGAAGCATGTGAGAGTGGGAGTATATTCGAGGGTGTAATGCCAAAGGATTTGAATATATATGTAACGACAGCATCGAATGCTGAAGAGAGTAGCTTCGGAACTTACTGTCCGGGAATGCAGCCGCCCCCACCGCCGGAGTACATGACTTGCTTAGGAGATTTGTATAGTGTTGCTTGGATGGAAGATAGGTAGAGAAGACTAATTTGTTTTGAAAACACAACAAATCTCTCAACTTTTAACATTTGCTCATCGTTTTTCCCAGTGAAACTCACAATCTGAAGAGAGAAACAATTGACCAACAATATGAGACTGTAATGATGAATCTTTCTCTGCCATTCGTTTACATTTTCTCTTCATTATATTCACACCAGAAAAGACTTCTGTTCATCAATCTTCAAGCATTTGTGCTGCAGGTGAAGAAAAGAACAGCAAGTCCCAATGATTTGAATGCAGGATCTCATGTAATGGAATATGGAAACTCGAGCATTAAAACGGAGAGGTTGTACTTGTATCAAGGATTCGACCCTGCATCGGTGAACTTGCCTCCTTACAATGGCGGGCTTGAAATGAAGACTATGGAGACAATTAACCAGAGAGATGCAGACATCTTCTTCCTGTGGCAAATGGTAACAATTTCAGCTGCAAATACAATCCTTAGACAATCAGAAACGTGGGATTTTGTTTTTCCCGAATTAAACTATAGCTGTTTTGACATCCTTTTCAGTATAGAAAATTGGAAGAAGGAACAAACGAGAGAGCCGAAGTCCTCGAGGAAATTAGGGAGACTGTGGCTCACAGAGCTCACTTGGATGGAAGCATCAGAATGATTGGCTTTCTTCTGTTTGGACCAGAGAATGTTTCCAATGTTCTTGATCATGTGAGACCTTCTGGTTTGCCTCTTGTGGATGATTGGACATGTCTCAAGTCAATGGTACGATTCTAAACTTTCTTTGGATCATCCGTTTATAAGCTTAATTTTTAAAAACGAGTAAAAGACAATTGAGTCTAGACGTTCTCATTCAAGCTCTCCACCAGGCCGTAGTACTAAACATCCATCGGCATCTACTTCCCTTGATAACCTTCCCACGCGTACCCATGTCGAGTTTATCAAGCCTTGCAAATTGTTTGAACTAACATCCCTTGTCCTGTGCAAAAAGGACCGAGTCCAAACGTTCTCATCTAAGCTCTCCACCAGACCATAGTACTAAACATCTCTCGTCTTTTCCTTCCCTGGCTAACCTTCCCACGCGTACCCATGTCAAGTTCATCAAGCCATTCAAATCGTTTCAACTAACCACATTCCTGCTTGTTTGAATCCTCATGATTTGGAAAATTGCAGGTGAGAGTGTTGGAGGAGCATTGTGGTTCACTGACCCAATACGGAATGAAACACATGCGCGCAATCGCAAACATATGCAACAAAGGGGTATCAGAAGCATCAATGAGGGAAGCTTCAATGGCGGCCTGTAATGGGCGGCGGAGATACGGGGGGGTGTGGCATCCTTCAAATAAGGGTTACAGTGCTTGATCTGATCAAGGACACAAACCCATACAATACCATACACCCTTTTGTACAAAAATGTCGAAAACATTTTCATATTTTATAGAATAATCAAAAGGGACAATCTTGCTCTGTAATCTCTATAATATATGTTTGTTAATCAGCGGAAAACCGAACCATCCACACTTCTCCGTAAGAGTTCTCAAGTTCCAATGCTAATTGGTCTCAAGCTTAAAGCACTTGAATTTGTTATTTTGTGTTCAAAAGATGGGAAATTGAGATTAGTATACAACAAGATTTATAACATATACATACATCTATTTAGTGGCTTCACAAAGACCAGTGCCTTCATCGCAAAAACCGTCACGATTGAGCAATTGTTGCGGCGGTGCGCTGAGTAGCGGAGATGACGGTGTTCCATATGCATTTCTGCGACTATTTCCACACCCTAAGCTTGCCCTCGTGCTCACTCCCGTCACTGGGTTCGTCCCACTCGCATACTTACAAAGTGCCTGAAAATTACGATTTTAGATTGGAAGTATATGTGTTAATCAATTAAACTATATTCAAAAGATAAACCTGCTTTTGGGGAAGGTCGATGACAGCATCACTAAAGTCAGCACCCACGATAGTGGCACCGCCTAAATCGCTCCGTGTTAGCACTGATCGAACCAACACCGCATTTGTAAGATTTGCTTCATTCAATACCTTAATAATTCCAAACTAAAGTTATTTCCTTAGTATAATTCAATAAATAATATATTTTAAATTTAATTTCATAAATATAAAATATTATATTTTAAAATCACATTAAAAAATAATTACCATACGATCCATCAATGTGTCACTCAAATCTGCGCCTGAAATAATAAGAAAAATTCAACACATTATTGAATTTAAAAAAAAATAATAAATTGGTAAATTAGAGAGTAATATTATTTTCATATGTTCTTTCTTTATTTTTCACTCTATTTTTCTTATTAAATTGATTTTTTTTTCTAATTATTATGTTTCGGCATTAATAATAATAATAAATAAATCAAAACTCTTTTTTTTTTTTTTTTTTTTTCGTAATTGAAAAAGAGATATTTTTCTTTTCCGCCTACAGCTTCATCGCATCGTCTGAGCAGTACGCAAACCCTAAAATCTGAGTGACATTGATCCTGATGAGCGGATGACAATCACTTTTCTGGATTCGAAGGTTGGATCTTCCTATCAATGTTTTATGCTTTTTTTCTCCTCGATTTCGAGGCAGAGTTCTGAAAATCGTGCGCATTTAATTCTTCATCTTGTTTGTCTGAATCTTCGTAATCTATTCTTGATGAATCCATGAATGTAATGCGTGTATAAACATGAGTTTTCTTTTGCTTAACTTGTAATTCTAGATTTTGTTATTTTGATTTTGTTTTGGTTAGAGGTGTTAGATGGAGTCTTCAACTCAGGAGGTTTCAATGGAGGTCCAGCAACAAAAGATTTTTGCTCTTCTTGATTTTGTGATGGAGTGTAATAGGAATCATAGATTAACTTCTAGTGTGTTGGAACCAGAGAACTACCATGTTTCCATGATGAAGGATGCAGTACTTGATTCTGCAATAATACTTGACTCTCTTACTGTTTTAAGTCCTTCTGAAGATGAGAATGAGATTGCCAATGTTCCAAAGGAACATGTTTCGGATAGATTGCCTAAGTTTCATCCACCCCGAAAAGGTCTTTCAGCGGTTAGAAGCTTTCCTCCTGGGTGTGGAAGAGGTGCTCCCCCAGTTAGAATTCAACATGGCTCAAAATTCTTGAAGAATGATGGTTCAAGAGGTGAAAACAGAGATTGGAATGTTGAAGCATTAACCAAAGGTGCAAAGAAATTAAGTGCTGCGAGTTTCTCTGGAGCCAATCCAATCACTCACAGGAATGTGTCTGAAGACCATAAAATTTTGGAGGATCCAATGAGGAAGACACCTAGGAATGAGGATGGAAGTATAGAGGGAAGGCTTTTTAGAGAGTTTGATCATGTGAAATCCAAGCAGGGAGAACTTGCAACTGGCCCTGAACCTATGGAAAATAGGGTTGTGGTGCAGGGTTTGAAAGCAGCACCACATTGCCCTTGGAGACAAAGCAAGAGGACGTTTAAATCCAATGCCAACCAACAGAACAGTTGACTCTGTGATTTTATACATACATCCACAGAATAAGTTATATAGCATACAAAGTTTTGGCAGCTCATGTTTAATGGTTTCATTGTCATTCAGGTTCCTATGATAATTAGTAACAAGCTTACCAGAGAAATTGGTCTTGTATGCAACAGCCTTTTCAAGATAAGCGCCATTGAATGTACAGCCACTGAAATCGGATTCTCTCATATCAGCAGATGTGAAATTGGCTCTCCTGTACAGTCGTTAGATTCAATGATGAGCACTGGGCACTAAGTATATAGATTGCGCCTGAAGTTATCATTTCAAAGCAAAGAGCCAATGACTTCACTTTATTTATATATCACTTATAGGATTCCTTTTGCCCCCGAATTTGAACTACATGTTCTTTGCAATTCTTCCATTGAGACTAGTTTCAGAACAGGGATTGTAAGAATCAAAGCATCATGACACAAAGAAATGATGAGACAAGCGGAAAACTACCTGAAATTTTCGTTCACATGCACTGCTTTTCTGTTCATAGAAGAAATTTATGGATTATCAGTATAAGCAAGTGTCGTTCAATTACTTTGCAATAAAGGAACAGATCAGTATTATCTGTAAGCCTAAAGACCTGAGATCTGCAGAACCAAATTGAGCAGCGGATCCAATTCCGAATTCGCCACGCGTATCGGCCTCATACTTGTTGAGTTCAGCAATTGAAGGCATGCCTGAGCTAAAACTAATGACTGCAGCAGCAGCCAAAGCAGTTGAAACCCACTTTTGCCATCTCTTTGGCTCTGAAATCTTGCCAATGTGTTTCCTCTCCGAACAATCTTCCTTTTCAAGGAAATTCAAGTTAGCGAAGACAACAAGCACGGAAGACGGTAGCCGCCATCGAAACAAGGGGGAGAAGAAGAGTACCATACTCACCTTGAGTTTGATCCTTTTGTAAGTTTACTTGAGAGACAATGGAAAATGATTTTCTGGGTTGTAGAGAACTCGGAACCTTTGATTTAGAGGAAGATGAGGGTAGACATTTTAGTGAGAGTGAGGAAACAGAAGAAAGTGCCATGAAGGGCTGCAATTGGGGTCTTCTCCTGCGCCAAGAAAGTTAAATATTTTGCTGGAAGGAGTAGAGAAACAGGGGAAAGAAAACGATTGGAGAGGAAAAGTTTTAGATTTATCAGTTTCCTTCTGACCTCTGGATAGGATTTGAACACATATTCCCTTGTTCTCTGGGGCCAATGGGTTAGCCACTTGTGGGTTTATTCGCCAGTCATGTTCTTCCAATTACATTACAGATAAAGTGGATGGCTTCTTTCCAAATCTTTTTTCACAGGTATTCCAAAATTTCATCTTCTTTTTCATCAGAGTTAGTTGTGGGCTGAACTTTCTTTTGAGGGCTTAAGGCCCATATGAAATGGGCCTTTGGGTGTAGGTATAGACCTCACTTCAGGCCCATTGGCTCAAAATATACAGATACTGATCCATTTTTAGATTGTTCCAAAAAATTATGTTGAGAGTTTTTTCTACACGCAATTGGTTTATAAAAATTTAAAAAAAATAATGTATTAAATTATCTTAAAAAAATCTGTAAAAATTGATTCTATCAATTACATTATAAAATGATGTTAATGATAGTTTTAAAATTGAAATAAATGGTGATTAAGATCTTAATTTTTTATATAGTTGAAATTATGTGGTAATAGATGTCACATAGACCTTCCAATTTTTAATTTGTCAATAATTAAAAAAAATTAAAAGAGTATTTTGTATCAAATAAAATAGCTTTTGAAATTTAGAAATATAATTGAAACGTACTATAAATCTTTACGTAGAAACAATAAGGTAGATTTTGGCTTGCTCGGGTCATTATGAGTGTACTTTCTCTCCCTCAAGTCATTCCTTCGATTGTAGAAACACAACAATTAATAGCTCGCTTCAAGACTCCGCCAACAATTAATAGCTCGCTTCAAAACTCCGCCCGTTTAAGAGAGACAAGGTAGAGCTAAGAAAAAAGCATTTGATTTGAAAAATGATTTGTAGCAACAAAAACATGGAATGACACCCTATGAGAGACAAACACAGAGAGATTGATAGGAAGCTGAAAGATCCTCACATCCACAGAGCCTACAGCATCCAAATAGCTCACTTCCACAGCCTTTTCTTTTGTCTCTCGGTCAACACCTTTTCCCCCTACGTACCATCCATATCATAATCCATACATCCATGCATTTATATTTTTCAATCTACAGTTCCGTTCAAAATGCAACCAACCAAAGTGGACAATATCGTATCGGTTAGTGTAGGTACGTGTATGGGGTTTAAACTTTTGTTTGTAAGTAGGGTACTGAGAGCTCGAGGGTTGTGCTGTTTGCAGGGAGAGCGGCAATGGGGAGCAGAAGGAAGGACTTTGGTTCAGATTCCTTTGTCTGCCCTAATCTCACCTAACCCACAACCCTTTTTTACTCTTTCTTTCTAACCAAAATATTGTTCTTTTCACTCTTACATTTGGGTTTATATAATTGAACTTAAGCTTGTGTAATATGAAATTGAGTTGTGTAAATCAATAGATTTGCACTGATTTCGAGTTTATACGAACGTATTTTCACTTTATTTTTTAGGGCTTTGGTGACGGATTTAAAACTATAACTTTTATATTGAAGTTAGAGAGACCTTGTATAAATTCACAATTTATAAATAGAGATGTACACGGGGCACGGTGAGATAGATAAGTCTTCCCCTATCTTTGCCTCATATTTCAATTCTCATCCTAGCAAAATTCTCCATTTATTTTTATAGGAATTTAGAGGAATATATTCTCATTCTCGACCCTATTTAGCTAACGAGGAGAAACCTCTCGCCATTCTCTCTCACATTCCTCGGTTAAACAGAAATTGAGCTTAAATTTTTTTTTTTTTTTTTTCAAATATGAAGTTAATTTATGTGAACTTAAAAAAGTTTGGAAATTAGTGAAAATAAAAATAGCAATAAAGAATTTTCTATTTACTAAAAACCCTCCATGTTAGATTGGATGCACAATTCTCTAGACGTTAAACTAGAAAAGCAACAAGGGGTAGAAAAACAAAAAGAGAGCAAAACGAGGGGAGAAAAAGTTCAAAAAAATAAGGTACAAGGACCAATAAATAAATAAATAAATAAACAAATAAATTCTACATACTTGATCATCAATATTTTATTAAATTCCTTTATTTCCCTTTTGGCTTTGTTCATTAAATCAAATGTGATTGCGGCTGTCAAATTAATAACCCTTTTTCTCCATCCCCTCTTTGAATCTTGACTTGTAATGCAAGAAAAAAAAAAAAAAAAAATCAAAACTTTAAAATTTAGAACGTTGTTTTTAATGTTTTCTTGAAATGGGTTTGTTTTGTTTCTATTTTGTAGTTCAAAATTTGAATTGGGTAATCAATGGTCTGCAAAAAGGCAAGCAATTTGCTTTAAAAAAAAAACCCATTGAAGAAGTGTCCACAAACAAAACAAAGCAAAGCAAAGGAAAGCAAAGGAAAGCATAGCAGCAGGCAAAGGACTCTCCCTCTCTTCACGCCTATGGGTTTGCAGATAGAGAAAAAGAGAAAAAATAGGGTTTGCTTCTTTTTTTGTTTTTCTAGGGAAAAGGGCTCTCTCTGCTATGCCTCTGCTGCTAACCTCCACAGGCCACAACCACATCCCCCAAACACTTTACCCACTGTCCATGGTCATGGTTTCTGAGTTCCCCCAAAACAACCCCAAACAAATTGCATAACAAATATCAAATATCATACCTAACTCTAATACAATACAAGACTCATGTTGATACAATCTTTTAGTGTCGAGCATGTTAAGAATCACAACTCTCCATAATGGTATGACATTGTCCACTTTGAGTGTAGGCTCTCATGATTTTGTTTTGGGTTTCCCAAAAGACCTCGTACTAATGGAGAAAGTATTCCCTACTTATAAATCCATGATCTTTCACTAAATTAACTAACGCACGACTCACTTTCAATAATCCTCAATAGAACAAAGCTTTGAAGGTATAGTTCATAATAAAGATCCTTGGTATAGATCTCTATTGACCATATCTTGATTTAGTGTAGAGATAAGGTCGAACTAAATGACTTGACCTAGAATAGTGGCAAGTTAGCTAGAGTTGCAAGCAAGTGAACACGCATGCACGTACTAATTAAAGGGTTGATTATGGGTTTCAAATAAATAATACTATCTCTATTGGTACGAGAGTTTTTGAGGAAACTTTGTAAAGTCACGAGAGATTATGCTCAAAGTGGATAGTATTATACTATTATAGAGAGTCGAGTCGTGATTTCTAACCGAAAGAACGACCTATATAGTTAAACAAGCTTACTATAAGACGTGATAAGCATAATCGAAAGTTGATATCATACCATTACGGAGTTGGAGGTTAAGAAAGAAGTGGGAATTTGAAGAGGGAAAGAGTGGAGGGGAGTGTAACCAAATTAGTTAAGATAAACGCAAGGGAAATGGGTATAGAGGAAAAGACAAAGGTGGCATAAAGGGCATCTCTGCGTTCTGATATGGTTTTTACTGACTTAAATACACATCTGTCTGTGTAAGAAGGGAGAGAATGAATGGTCAAATCACCCCAAAAAAAAACAAGAACCCTAATATTAAATGTTAATCAAACCTAACCCTTCGCTTCAACTTTCATAATATTATTCTATATTTTATTGTTTTATTGTTCATCACCATGATGCCATAAATGAATCATTTGTTTTTTTAAAATCTTATCATGGTTGTGTTATGTCGTGTCATGTCTGCACTGTCTTTTCTACCTGTTTTGTTGTAAGAAAAAAAAATCCTTTCTTTTTTTTTTTTTTTTTTTTTTTGTAAGTAAAAACCAACTTCTAGATTTAGAAAATGGACCAATTCCATGGAATTTGTGTCGGTACAATGCAACATATGGAGTCCTATAGCAAATCTATAAGGTTTCAAGGTTGAAGAAATTATTAATAAAACCTCCCTCCAAATTAAATTTCTAGAAAGACTATCAAATTAGGCTTGGTTAGTAAGATAGTATTCCTTTTGAGCATAAGCTTGTTTGTTTTGTTCTGTTATGTATCACATTTCAGCTTCACGTTTGTAAAACGTGTTTACTACGGAGAGGTTTCCACGCGCTCATAAGAAATATTTTGTTTCCCTCTCCAACTATTGTGGGATCGCTCACAAGTTCTCTTTTGGATTTTCCAAAAAGACTCGTACCAATGTAAATGACGTCCCTTAATTGTATACCCAAGTTCTTTTCCTTAATTAGTCAATGACTCCAAGAGAGGGAAGAAGAAACATCTCGATAGAGGGAGAGAGGGCTAAAGGGTAAGGAGTTTCCAAACTCAACGGATTGACAAGTGGTGGTGGATTTCATAAACTCGCGTTGTTAGGTTACAATCATGAACAAAGTGGGTGAGAGAACTCAAGAGGGTTTGGAAAAGAGAAATAGATGGTTGCAAACATTAGTAGAGGCTAGGGTTTTATTCGAGAGAGAGAGATATACACATACGGTTCGGTTTGGTTCCATTCCATTCAATTTAGATAGAGTTTCTTAAACATAACCGTTAGAAAGAAAATGCACTATCATAATAACCATTAAATAGCTTAGAGTGAAACTCAATAACTTCTTCAATTTAAGAGCATGGTAATTGACGGGTCTTAATCAACTTAAAAATGATAAATTTGTATGACATGATATCCATAAATGTGGTCCAAGAAAAAGGATATGAGGAGAGAGAAGAGATAAAAATAGAAGATGGGAGGAAAAACATCACACAAAATCTCATGATGGCGCTATAATTGAGCTATGATGGAGGGAAGTGAAGAGAGAAGAGCCCTAAGGAAGGGCAAGAGATGAGCAAAGAGCCAAAGAGAGGGCGACCTAATTGTCCAACAGGAACAAACAACAACAACAACACCAAGAAATTTGTATTATTTAATCTTTGTTTTGGGGGTTCGGAAACTGAGGAAACCTTTAAAGAAATGGTCCAATTGAGACCACACAAAACCACAACACAACACCCTCTTTAACTTATGAAAACAACAGGTGAGTGTGTGAAAGCTATCTCACTCCCATGCACACGTCCCTTTCTGCCTCCCTCCGCCCACATCTCCCGCTCTTTCCAACCATACATCCATACATCCATGCATGCATGCATGCATACATACATGATGAGGCTATAAACCAACG